CCTTGGTGGCGGTGGTGGTGGGTTACTTGGTGGGGTGACCGGTGGTTTGCTTGGTGGTAGTGGCAGCCGTGGTGGCCTGCTTGATGGGGTGACCAGCAGCTTGCTTGGTGGTGGTGGCGGTGGTGACGGTGGTGGCGGCGGCGGCGGTGGTGGGTTAGTTGGTGGGGTGGCCAGCAGCTTGCTTGGTGGCGGTGGTGGTGGTGGTGGGTTAGTTGATGGGGTGACCGGAGGCTTGCTCGGTGGTGGAGGAGGTGACGGTGGTGGTGGGTTACTTGGTGGGCTGACCGGAGGCTTGCTTGGGGGGGGGGGGGGGGGGGGGCGGGGGGGGGATGGGGTGACCGGAGGCTTGCTCGGTGGTGGCGGCGGTGGTGGGTTAGTTGATGGGGTGACCGGCTAGATGCTCGGTGGTGGAGGAGGTGACGGTGGTGGTGGGTTACTTGGTGGGCTGACCGGCGGCTTGCTTGGTGGCGGTGGCGGTGGGTTACTTGAGGGGGTGACTGGTGGCTTGCTGGGTGGCGGCGGCGGTGGAGGTCTGCCTGGCAGTGGTGGTGATGCTAACGATGGAAGCCCGGCGAACCACGCTGGCCAAGACCTACCGGGTGGCAGTGTTCCCGGAGGAAGCGTCCCCGATGGCGTTGCCGGAGGACTGCTAGGACAAGGAGGTCTGCTTGGCACTGCAGGTATCCTTGGCAGCCAAGGTGGTCTGCTGGGCAACGGAGGTCTGCTGGGGAATGGAGGCCTGCTCGGTGGTGGAGGCGTGCTCGGGATCCTCGGAGAAGGAGGTTTGCTCAGCACGGTCCAGGGGCTTACAGGGTAAGGAAAGCTCTTACTAGTCTCTGCACAGCGGTTGCTCTGGGATCGCCGCCCAGCCCCGGGCATAACCCAGAGGGGAGCTTTGTTTGGCTCACAGATTTGCTTTAAAGTTGCAAGCTCCCTAGCATCAGAAAGCAGGCTAGAAATCCCCCGGACTCCTGGTTGTGGACGGGGGAAAGCTAGCGATCCTGTCCTGCACAGATCAGGGAAAACAGCGCCGCTTCGGAGCACTGCGTTGGCTCTACCGGCGGAAGCAGGCAAAAATGAATGTTTCGGTTGAATCCTCCACCTGCGTGTGAGGTCCCGGTGCGTGGTTTTCTCCTTGCCAACTGTATCACCGGCCAAAAATACGCAGGAGCAAGCAATAAAACCACTCGTATCGTTGCAGTTTGAAAATAGCCCCATGAGGAAGCCATCGGCTATAGTCCTAGCGGGGCTGAAAGGCCCTTTGTTAGCACCGGACACTGGGAACCAGTGGGGAGAATCCGGTTGCTCCCAGTGCTGTCTACATTGGTCTGGCATCCCTTTCATGGGAGTGTTTTGGGACCGAGTTAAGTCGCTGAGCGCTGGAGCGGGCTCTGGTGTGATCCCGTGTTGGTGGGGGACGCCCGGCTGCCGTCCAGAACGGTGCATTTCTCATCGCAGGGTCTGCAGCCTTTGCGCGTGGTTCAGGCCTGAAGCATCTCGGGCCCCTCGTTTGCCCGGGGTTTTCTGGCCGTCCTGCACACGTGGCACTTCCGTGCCAGGGTCTCCGTGCCGAGACTTGAGCTCCCGAGCTTTCATCCCCTCCCTACGGATGTTTGTGTCCCGCAGGTTACGAATCGTGGAGCTCACCCTCCCCAAGGTGTCCCTGAGGCTGCTGCCTGGGATCGGCGTCCACCTGAACTTGTACACCAGGGTGGCCCTCAATGGAAAGAGGTAAGCGGAGCATCCTTTGGAAAGTGCCCGACTCGGGGCAGGCCCCCAGGAAGGCTGCCGGATCGGGGCCGTCTCCAACCGTCGCTGGCAATGCAGGGCCAGCTTTGGGGGTCGTCTCCCATAATTAAAATGGGGAGGGAGGGGGGTCATCGCTTGCATTACTGTGAGCAGACACAGGAGGACGTCGTGGATCCTGACGTTGCCCCTTGCCCCTTGCGCAGTCTCCTCGGTTTCCTTGACATCGCCGTGGAGGTGAACATCACGGCAAGGGTCAGGCTGACGATGGACGGCACAGGCTACCCCAAACTGCGGGTAGAAAACTGCGATGCCCTCCTCGGTAATATTAAAGTCAGACTCCTCCGAGGGTAAGAGCATGTTAAACGGACCGTCGAGCTAATCGCACTATGAGCCTTCCTGCTCTTTAGGCCCAGAGTTTCACGCCGCGTGCACCAAACCTGCTTTTTGCATGCGAGTGTCGGGATTCTCGTGTATAATCACGGCAGTTTCGGGAACCGTGCATGCTTATGGCTAGTGGGCATACATGAGGACTTGCTTTTACTGCTAGTGGGTGTCCTCCCTATAGCACGGTTGTGGTCCTTGAACACTGGGCGCTTATCTGAGTCGTGTATCTAAACGACGCACAACGCGTACGAGCGCCCCGACGGAGCCGTCCGACACGGGGTTTTGTTTCTCAGTGACTTTTCCTGTTTTACTTTTTCTCAGCTTGCTCCCCATTGTGGATAACTTGTTGGCACGGGTCCTGAACGGACTCCTTCCTGGCCTGGTAAGTCAGAGAAGAGATCCTGGTAGGGCTTCATGTACCCAAGCCAAGCACTATTAGAAGATGCTACTGGAAGACTTTAAACAAGAAAATATTTCAGTCTGTCCCAAAACTAAACTGCCTGTTTGAAGATCTTCAAGCACGGACAAAAGCAGCTCCGTCCTAAACGCGCCCGTTCTTTCTGTCGATTCTCCGTGCAGCTGCCACGAGCCTTAGCCGGGGAGAGAGCAATGGGTTACAGCGAGAGAGCAGTTCAGGTCATTACATTTTGTTCCAGCTGCCGATCTCGCTTGCCCTCGGGCCGGGATCTCGGGCCAGCCCCTTCTGAAGAGAGATGCTGGTAGCAGCAAATCATGGGAGTGCGATGGGGTTAGGCCATTCATGCTCCGTGAGGATCTGGGCCAGGCAACCTGCCGAAGTGTCGTGATCCCTTGGTGGAAAGGGCACTTGAATGCATTGCTCCCCCCTTCTCGTGCCCGACCCGGAGTTTGAACTCCTCTGATCCGAGCTTTACCTCTTGCAGCTCTGCCCCGTCGTGGACGTTGCCCTGGGACTCGTCAACGATCAGCTGGGGCTCGTGAACTGTAAGTTTTCGTGACTCATCTCAAGCTGTTCCCGCTCCCCGAGTGTCCTCTTGGGAGATGGAGGGAGGCGTTGGATAGAAGTCTCCAATGCAGAAAGAGGAGTTACAAAGAGGGTGGCCATCAGGAGACATAGTGAAGGGGTCACGCCGAGAAGGAAGATGTAGGTTGGGTATCAGGACAAATTTGCTGAGGGCAAGGGTGGTGAAGCACTGGGGCAGGTTACCTGGAGAGGCTTGGAGTCGCCATCGCTGGAGGTTTTTCACATCCAGGTTATAAGAAACGTTTGTCTGGGATGGTTTAGACCTTGAGCGAGGGTTGGAGTAGAAGGGACCTTCCCTCTCGGTTCTTCCCCGCTTCGGTGACCTTCGTAGGAGAAAAAAGTGCGAGTGCGTAGGACTTCTCTCCACGCCCGAACGAGGATCACTGCTGTTGCTTCTCTTTCAATCTAGCCCTGGTGCCGCTGGGTATACTGGGAAGTGTCCAGTACACCGTATCGAGCCTTCCGCTAGTAACTGGCAAGTTCCTTGAAGTAGATTTGAATGTAAGTCCTGCCCGTTACACCTGTGTGCGGGGGCTGTGCGGTCGCATGCCACCGCGGTGAAGGGTCCCGGTCCCATTTTCTCGGGGGGGTCTCTGGAGGTCAGCGGACCTGAGCAGGGCGCCTACGGGAGCAGCTGATCATGATGTGAAAAGCTCCCTCGGACAGCCGTGAAATTTGGCCTTTAGTGCCCTTTGTGCGGTGATCCTGCTGCTTTGGAAAACCCGACCCCAGAGCCGGACCGGGCTCGGCGTCTGCCCCCATTACCTCTCTGTTTTCTCCCTACAAAACTGGGGAGAGAGCTGCCCGCCAGATTCTGGCCTGGGCTTGTTACCTGCTTATGTTCTTCCGGTCGTATTTATTGTCACTTCCTAATCAAGTGGGCTTAAAATGAGCATTAAAAGGGCAAAATGCCGTGGAGATGTTGCGTAACCATTCCTGGAGGTTTTACCTTTCTCTTGTGGTTTCAGACTGTGGTCGGGAGCGTCGGAGGAGGCCTCCTTGACTACCCCCTGGGCAAGCCAGAAGCTGTCCCTATGGCACCTGGGGTACCGATGCGCCCCAGGGTACCAATGGCACCTGGGGTACCGATGGCACCTGGAGTACCGATGCCACCCAGGGTACCGATGCCACCCAGGGTACCAATGGCACCTGGGGTACCGATGCCACCCAGGGTACCGATGCCATCACTGCCGCCGATGGAAGATAAGACCTCCTCCCAGCTTGGCCTCTCCGTAAACTTCCTTAGCTCCGTGATAGCTGTCCTGCAGAAACAAGGGGCTCTAGATATCGACATCTCGGATGGGATGGTGAGTGGGAATGCAGCCGGGGGGAATGCTCCCTGCTTAGTGCGGCTGTCCGGAAGACGTCATGGCATGGTACAGCTGCGAGTGCATCAGTTGGAGCATTTTAGCAGCTCGTGGCTGATGACAAGGTGTGCTGCTTGCTTAGGAAGAGGAGTGAAAGACGCTGCAAGACGTGCTCAGAGCTTTAGATGCGAAGGGAGAGATGCACGCTGCTTGGGTAGGACAGCGGGAGCCGTTGCACACATTTCATTGAATTATTTCCTTCTCATTTGTAACAGTTTCCTGAGCTCCCTCCATTAACGACATCGACTCTTGGAGCGTTGATTCCTGCGGTTAGTGAGTTCTGTCTTTATTTTACGCTGCGAATGCTCCAGGGATGAGAGCCATAAAAGTATCCAGAGGCACAAATCCCCTCCCTTTTTCTTCCGCTCTTGTTGAAGACAAGCCCGTTGCAGTTAATGAACAGAAGCCCATTGACTGAAATGAGCTTGGCATTGGGCCCAATGTGCCAAAACGCAGCAGGGCCTAATCCCGATTTATGATGCAGCCCTTTGGGCTCCTCTGGTGCCGTGTCCCAGCGCTCGGGTCAGGCTGAGATGCACAACACTGAGCCACCAGCTCGAGGCAGAATATTCCCGGGGTCTGTTTTGCCTCAATGCTGCGGCGGTTGTAGTCTGTTTAAATCAATGGGCTTACGCGGCTGTAGAAGTAGCACGAGGCATCGTCCCCAGCATCAGGAAAGCTACCGGTGATGGGGAAGAACGATGTCTCATGCTGGAAGTGGAGCCGACTCCCGATTCATCCCAGCATTGCACCTAGGTATTAAAGCTGTGTGAGCTGTGATCTGTTTGCCGTTGCAAGCTATTCCGAATTAATCCTGGGTTAGGTGTGCAGAGCTGTGTGTCTCCCACTGTCTGCAGGTTTTTCAGAAGTACCCCGAGCCCCAGGCACTGCTGCTGAAGGTCGTAGTCCCTGACGTTCCCACGGTGACTCTGGCCAAAGATAAAGGCTTGATACACCTCCTCGCGACTGCCGAACTGATGGTCGCCCAACCCAGCGATGCCTACAAGACCCTCTGCCGGCTCAATATCGTACGTACCGGGAAGCGGCCAAAGCCCCGCTGCGGAAACCTCTTCTGCAGCCGCACCGTTGCTGTCAGCAAACGATTATTTTAGGAGCAGATGCTTCATCTCCCCGTGGCGTCCTCGAGGGAGGGTGTGCAGAAAGTCTCTGCTTCAGACCTGAGCTGAGACGGCGTTCCCCCGTCACGAGGGAGCTCGGGGAAGAGCCGACTTCTTCGGCTTGACTGGCTTTTGCTCTCCAATTGCAGGATGCTTCTCTGCTGGCCTGGTTCTCCGTGGAAGACAACAAGCTGAAGATCAGCGTCAGCCTTGACAAGTAGGAAGTCTCTTCTCATCGCTCCTTCTCCTGATCCGTAGCAGCGGGCAGGGACGGGGCGGGCGGTGGTGTCCTGGGTCTCCTTTTATCTGCTGGCTTCAGCGATCTCTGCAAATCTGCAACGTCCTACCCGACTTCTTTCCTTTTCCCGCAGGACTCGTCTCTCCTTGGCGTCCTCCACCCTCGGCAATTTTGATGTAAGGATACAGGATGGGTGCAGACTTCCTTCGGGAAGTGGGTGCTGCTGCATCGGGGAGCTGGAGATAGGAGGGCTGGGCGCGGCGTGCCGTGCCTGTTGTGTTTTAACAACACATTTGTCTTGCCCCTGGAGATGGATGTATTTGCATGGGATGCTCTGTGGGCAATCTTCCCGCAAGCCATTGCAAATCTGTGTGTTTAAAAATGGCTGTGAGAAAAGTGAGAACCGTCCCTGTGATTGAGGTGGGGACAGACTGGGATAGTGAAGTCTTTTTATTACAGAGAAATGCGGGGAAGGCAAAGCAGCCCATCCTGAGCTGCATGATGGCGCAGCGGGACGGTCTCCGGCACCTGGGCGTCTCTGTCCTGCACGTGGTTTTGCAGGGTAGACGTATCCTCCCCCACTGAAATTCCCAGAAGCTTTTGGGTCACTAGTATTCATTGCACAGTGGAAAACGCTCTCTGTTAGCAGGGATTGCTTGGTAGTCTGGACTTCTTTGCCTCGGTTTTCCGTTCTTGCACCTTTCGCTATAGCAGAACGAGGCTCCAAACTCCACACATCGTGCCTAAAGCATCCTGGTACATATATTTGGTAGCTTTCCCGGTGATGGCGAAGATGCCTCACGATGTTAGGCTGGGGACAGAAGAAGAATTCAGGAGAAGTCTCAGGGTTCGCACTTAGTTTAACAGGCAGCTACATTAGTTTGGCCTCCAGAGAAGGTTCATTTTGCAGATAGACATCATGAAGCTCGAGCTGGGAATTGGTGCACGGCGTGGCATTCATCCTGGGTGCAAAAGTGACGGCTTACACCAAAAGCAGAGGCTGCACTCGGATCCCGAGAGCTGAGCTGGAGTACCTGGGCCCTCCAGGGGGGAAGGAGTGGACTCCAGATGTAGTGGTCTTCAGAGAGCAGCAATCTCTCCGTGTCACCGCCAGCAGCACCTGGCCCGTGGCGTAGTGAATAAACCGCGTTAATGCAATCACTTCTCTCCTCCCACAGATCTCACTTTTGGACGTGCTGGTTAGCAAGATTTTTGACGTCGCCTTCCTGCCAGCGATGAATAGTAAGGACCTCCCTGTTGTCCGTACCTCAGTTATTCTGCGCTAGAGCGGGCACGGTGCAATGCCCTCTTTGCGTTCAACTTCCACGAGCTCTCTGCAGTCGAACCCACTGGAGCAAATCTGCTCTCCGGAGGGGAGAGGGGTTTCGGGGGATTGCACGTTGTCAGGCAGTGAAGGAAATCACTCATGAAACATAGAGAGGGTACACTGCCTCGCACGACTGACTCTGGGCACGCGTTTTCATCCCGGGGATGTTTCAGGGGCGTGAGCAGAAGCTGCACGCGACGTAGCTGGAGTGGCCGTAGGGCCAGCCGAGGACAGGGTGGTGGGATGCTCCCGTTTCCTTCCGCCCGGAGCGCTGGCGCTGACTCCTGCTCTTCCTTGCAGGCATTCTGGGAGAAGGCGTCCCTCTCCCCAAGCTGCTCAACACTGACTTCAACAACGCTGACATCGATGTCATTGAAGTGAGTGTGACCAGCCCGGGCTGTGTCTTCCTGGGGCGCGTCACGGGTCCTCCGACTCCCAGGGAGAAAAGACTCTGCGGGCACGCGTGTTTTGGTTGTAATGCAACATTGGAGCGGGGAGGACGAGGTGTTTCCAAAGCTGCTTCCCCCTGGATTGGAAGTCCCTCCCGAGATGTGCACCACGGCCCTTAGCTAGATTTGTACCTTCACGTCCACCCGCAGTGTTTCCTGACCCTGGGATCCGCTGGCGAAGGAGCAGACCCCGCGTTCGCTCCAAGGACCAGTTGTTTCCTTGTGCTCCCAGGCCTGAGCTCGACGCTCTGATTATGTTTTACCAGGATCTCCTCGTGTTATCCGCGTGAGCCCGTGAAGCCAGACTGGGAAAGAGTCCTGCGGACGTACGCCTCTCCCACTGGAAAGAGAAGCGAAGCCCAGTCCACCGGCGGGCCCCGGAGTGGGTCCCCTTCATACCCAGCGCATCGAACTGAGACCTTAGCTCTCCCGTCGGCCGCTTTAATCAAATGTAGCTTGTCTGCTTGGGGCCGTGGAGCTCTGCACCCGCTTGCCGCAGCTTGTGATTGCCAGGAACATTTTGGTTCAGAAAAATGCTTGTATTTTTTTTTTGGAATCCCCTGCTCCTGTTTTAATAAAAAAAAGGTCCTGTTTTCTCCGCATTGAGACTGAGTGCTGTCGAGTCTCTGGAGCTGGAGCGGTCCCTACCCCTGCCCAGGCTCCATTTGCACCGCAGGCTGGCGTTGCGCGTTTGAGGGCAGCTGGCAAACCCATCAAAGTACCGAACCGCACGCTGGGCAGGACGTCCCGCATTGTGAAGACCCGGTGCTTTGCCCGCCACTGCCCACGTCTGTCAAATACCCGGCACAAGGCATAGCAGCAGGATTGAGCGCAAGGTCTTGCATGTCGTCCGTAGCGAGGGCCCGCTCCAGAGTTAGTGGGCGTCTTTCCATTGTCTGCAAGGGGCTTTGATCAGCTGCCCCAGCCGTTTAATGGGTCGCCAGTCTGTTCCAGGAGGAAGAGCTCCTGCAGAGCTGTGCTTGTCTGGGATTACTTTGGAGCTGGGATTACTTTGGAACAAGAGCAGCTCCTGTCTCACCTGTAAAAACAAATAGGCATTAGGCAACCCTCCTTCCCTCCCTCCCCACTTAAAAATCATAATCTGCCCATGCCATATAACATCCACCTTGTGAGATACCCAAAGTCGCACCAAGTTTGGGGCACATTTCTGGCAGAGAGAGGCAAGGTTGCAGCTCGAGTTGGCAAGCGCGCGGTGATGTGCTCGTGGGCTGGAGATGCGATCACAGCCCTTGGGCTCATCGTGGTATTACCTGTCCTAAGCTCTGTCGGCTTTGTATTTCTGGAAGGACGTGCCAAGAACGCGAGAGGCCTGCCAAGCTCACTTTGGGTGAAATCCTGCACCTTGCAAGCCAGAGGCGTTGGAGTAATTTGTCCGGTGAGGACAAATCCTGCATGAACTACGCCGCGTCGGGGCGCAGCC